CCCCCCCGAAACAATTGCACCTTCCATATTTTACGGTGGATTTGGACAGATCTCGAAGAGCGCAGTCGGAGTCTGCTGACAGAAAACAAAAAAAAAAAAAGAAGGAAAAAATTTGGGCATTTGTTTTCAAAACCCAGTTTTCCGGTACAACCCCCCTCGGCTGGTCCGGATCCCGGTGGACCGGGGGAGGTGAACCGGCCCCGCTATATACAGCGATATACAGCTCTGATGAGTCGGTGAAACTCTAACGAAACAGTTTGTCACAGCCCCTCGATTGTTGTCCTCTTCTCCCTCTCTGCCTACAGTTTATCGCGCAGCTCTGTTTGACTATACATATGTATATACATATATATACCTGCGTCGCACACCGAATGTCTTCGGAAGTTTTTCGACCGTCCGAACACGTTCGTCCGTTTGCCCGAACGGGAAGCTAACGCGTTCGCACGAACACCTTTCCAAGGCTTGCGAACGCAGTCGCCCAGCGGGCCCAGCGGGCGTTACCAGCCCTCGGAAAGGTCTGGGGGGTAGGTTTGGGCGGGCGGCCTGGCGGGAGGGGGCAGCCTGGGCCCGCATTCGAATTTGAACCGGCCAGGTGTGTGTGTATCCCTCGTCGACGCAGCGTCACAGGGAGCACGCCATCGCCGTGGTAGGTGTCCAGCCCCCTCCTCCTCCTCCTCCTCGTCGCCGTCCTCCTCCTGTACTTCCTCCTCCTCCTCCTTTTCCTCCTCCCCGTCGTCGTCCTCCTCCTGTACTTCCTCCTCCTCCTCCTCCTGCTCCTCCTGTACTTCCTCCTCCTCCCCGCCGTCATCCAACTGCTGTACTTCTTCCTCCTCCTCCTCCTCCTCCTCCTCCTCCTCCTCCACTGACCAACGTGCGGCTGCCACGTCAGCATGCGCCCAATTTTTTTTTTTTTTTGGTGCTTCTTCTTCTTCTTCCGCCTCGTAATCCCCCTCCTCCTCCTCCTCCTCGTTTTTTCTTCTCCTCCTCGTACTCTTCTTCTTCTCCTCCTCGTACTCTTCTTCTTCTCCTCCTCCTCGTATTAACGGCCTCCTCCTCCCCCTTTTTTTTTTTTTTTTTTTTTTTTTTTTGTCCGATCAATCAATCAATCGATCAATCGATCAATCGATCAATCGACCGATCAATCGATCAATCGACCAATCGATCGATCGAAGATCCCATCGAATCGGTTGATTCGATAGGATCTTGATACGTCAAGATCCTATCAAATCGATTGACTCGATGGGATCTTTGATCAATCGATTGGTCGATTGATTGATTGATTGATCGGA